AGGACCTGGCCCCCCCCCCGCATTCCAGTTGCTTAGGCCCCATGCAAGCATAAGACGTCACCAGTGCTGTGGCTTCTTCATCCAGTCTTGGATTGAGAAAGAGAGAGAGACCATTGTTTCTCGAAGGCAGACAGCAAAAGACTGTACAAATCAGAAAAGCTTTTTGGTCTGGAGACTCTATGAAGAGAAAGGCACTCTGGAAATGGATGAAGTTGCCCTGGAGGCTCCCCCGCTGGGCCCCATGCAAGCATAAGACGTCACCAGTGCTGTGGCTTCTTCATCCAGTCTTGGATTGAGAAAGAGAGAGAGACCATTGTTTCTCGAAGGCAGACAGCAAAAGACTGTACAAATCAGAAAAGCTTTTTGGTCTGGAGACTCTATGAAGAGAAAGGCACTCTGGAAATGGATGAAGTTGCCCTGGAGGCTCCCCCGCTGGTTTTGCCAAGGCTGTTGTGGTCCACAGGGCCATCCTGCACAGCCTGCCCCTACTTCTCACGAAGGCAAATCCAGGGCCCTCTATGGGAGGAGGGCTACGCCTGGCTGCTTGGGCTCCTGTCCTGTCCCTTCTGCTTTGATTTGAGAGACACCTGGGCATCCATAGGGACTACTGGGGACAAGCTGCCACTTGGGTGCCCCAGCCTGCGGGGGTGGAGACCGTGTACCACACCAAGTGCCCCCTTGTTCCTTTGCTAGCTTCATGCTTCCCGCCTTGCTCTCTCCAAGGTTTGGGAGAGGGTCAAAGTCAGTCACATCATGTTTCAGAAGCTCTGCGGAGGTCTTGGCAGGGAGACCAGCCAGAGATTTTTAGGGATGGCTAGCCAAGGAACCTGCCTTGAACCCTGGCAAGTCCTTGGTGCTAGCCAGAGTTGGGCTGAGGGTCAGACTCTGTGTAGAAGGTAACCTTCTGAGTCCACCATAATGGCTGTTCTGAAGAGGAACAGAGTTGCCTCCCTTCTCCGCCCCTTCCTGCTTACCACTTCTTGCCCCTCTGCTTGGTTGTTTCACTTCTTGCCACTTTTTCCGAGCCCCCTGGGAATGTTTAGTTGGTGCCGCAAATCCCTAGGGTCTTAGGCTCCTCTGAGAGGCAGGGATGGAAGACCTGAACAGGGGTGGGAGGTCAGGAGGAGGGCAGCCAGACCCTGCTCTGCCAGTCTAAATGAGTGTCCAACGTTATAGCACAATTAGTCGGAGGGCAGGCGCAGACTCTAAAAAGGCAGAGGGGAAGCCTCGACCCACCATCCACAGAACAAGAAAGTGCCCTAGAGGAGGACGCCCAAAAGGGAGAAAGGAGGAGCCCCATCCCAGGGGTGCACTGTAAGTGACAGCTTCAATTCCTTTGGGAATTCCCTGGACAATTTCTCAGGAGGGTTGGGGGGGGGAGCTGATGGGGGTGGGATCCCAGGGCATCCTTTTGGAGCTTCAAAATGACACACACCCCGGTTCCTCTTCTGGAGCAACTTGGGGTGAGAGCCCTTGCAGGGAGTCATGGGGGCCAGGGGACTCTGCTGTGCACATCTAGCCTTCCAGAGTGCTCATCTTTCTACAGACAGCTGGCAGTGGAGGCAGGGAGTGCTTTAGAGCTTCCCCATCTCCACCCAAGCCCTAAGAGGGCTTCTTTCTGGCCTTGAGGACTTCTTTTTGGGGGGGGGGAGCTGGGATTGTGGGATCCTTGGGCAGAGGGATGGGCCTTCCCTGCCATTTTCTCTCTCCAGCTCTCTGGATGCCATCTATTACCATCGGGAGCTCCTATGCTACTCTCTGGACAAGCTCAGAGTGGACCTGCTGACCATCACATCACACCACGGCATACAGGAGGAGCGGGAGACTCGTCTGGAGAAGCTTTTCCCTGAGAAGGACACTCCACGGCCACACTGCTTTGTGGGGAAGAGGGTGAGTGGAGGGTGGCGGCAGCAGCGGAGGAGAGCATGGGGCGGGCCCAGTGGGTGCTGGGGAAGACTCCCAGCATGTGATGGGTTAGATGGGGGGGAGGGGAGGGGCTGCTGCAAAAGTGGACAGCACTTGTCCATCCTTTGAAGTGAGGGAGGGTCCAGAGCCAGGGTGGGGGTAATCTTAAGGCAGGGAAGGAAGGTGGTTGCTCTGGAGAGAAGCAGGGCCTTCCTCGGACTGCATCGTGAGGTGAGCAGACTTCCAGTCTGACTCTGTTCTCTTGCTTCTCTTCAGTGCTTAACTCTGCAGCCCACTTGACTTATTCCTTAAAAAAAAAAACAGTTTCTTTGTCTTCTCCAGGTTCTGCTTTCATGCATCTTTTTCAGCGTATTCAGTTATATGTAATCATATCTTTTATTAAGCATATATAAATTTATCAACAGCTCACAGAATTTCTTCTCCTTTGCTTCTCTTTTTTCCCCTTGCATTTTCTTGCAATCATCCCAATATCTGTGCATTGGCTTTCAATAGTCTCTAAAAATCCTGTTGTTTTAAAAATGCCTTCCAAGATTAAGTTAGTTGGGGCTTCTGTTTGTTTCTTTTGTTATTGTTGTTCAAAAATACCAAACATAGTCAGTCAAAATTATAAAAGCATTGATGACAAGTATTATATAAGAGATAGAAAAACAATATCATTACTATCACTACTACTATTATTACTTATTATTATTATTGTGGCCTTCTGTTTCTTTTTTTTTCCCCTTGCTATTTGTCCATATTCCTTTTATTTGGCTTGACCCACCACATCTCTGTGATGGCTGCTGGATTTGAAGAAAGGCAGACCTTGCCAGAACATCATCTGCCCAGGGGTTTCCCCAGAGGTGGAACAGCCCTTTCTGACAGTGCTGCCTCTAAGAGGCTAGGGCCAGCTGGCTGGCATAGTTACCATCCTTTTCTCTCTACCCCTCACCCCCCAACCTCCCAGGTGTTCTTTCTCAGCAGCAGAGTGCATCCTGGGGAAACACCCGCAAGCTTTGTCTTCAATGGATTCCTGGAATTCATTCTGCGGGAGGATGACCCTCGGGCCCAGATGCTGCGCCGCATGTTTGTCTTCAAGCTCATTCCAATGCTGAACCCAGATGGGGTGGTACGAGGCCACTACCGGTGAGTGCCTGCACTGGGGCCAGTGGGCTGTTCCTCCCTGGATACTGCCAGACAAGGATGGAGCATCAGCTCCTGGTGGGCTGTGGGGAGAGAGGCCCTCCCCTGCTCAGTTGAGACAGATCCTGGCTTCTCGTCAGAAAGAAGCCCCAGGCTCCTTTCACTGCTTATCTCTGTAGCTGGGACTTCTCTCTGGGAGGGAGGGAGGGAGGTCTTTGCGTGGCACTATTCATTCCCATGACAACAACCGCTTCTTCGTCTCACAGGACAGATGCTCGTGGAGTCAACCTGAATCGCCAGTATCTGAACCCGGATGCAGAGCTGCACCCCTCTGTCTATGGGGCCAAGGCCATCCTGATGTACCACCACATCCACAGCCGTGTCCAGCCAGGATCTCCTGACTGGAGGACGTGCCCTGGCCCCCTAACCGTGAAGGCTGCAAACCAGCGCTCTGTGCTCAGTGGACCTTCTGGAGAGGAGGCCCCGCTCTCGGAGCTGGAGAAAGCTGGTAACCTCCGCAATTCCACCACAGAGGATAGAATCCCCTCCCCTCCAGACCCAAGGCCCTCGGAGGTCCCAGGAGAGAAAGGCCAGGACACCTGGATCCTCTCTAGGGAGCCGCCCGCCCAGCGTGGGGAGGACAGAGCCCACAGCCCTCCGGCACCAGAGAGCATCCCACCGCAGCAGAGCGGCCTGGCCTACTATGTCGACTTGCACGGCCATGCCTCCAAGCGGGGCTGCTTCATGTATGGGAACAACATAGCGGACGAGAACCACCAGGTGAGGGGAAGCAGCCGCCAGGCTGGTCGCAGCTGTGTGGGCTCCCTCATGCTGTGCTGTGCTGGGGTGGTGAGTGCCCCCGGGAGGGGCTGGGGTGGTGAGTGCCATCCGGAGGAGTGAGGGCGAGGAGAAGCCACAAGAGGTCTTGCCAGGGCAGCGGTGGCTGCCAGCCTCTCCTCTCCTGCAGCCTGTTTGCAGGTCTGGTTGGCCAGAAGGCCAAATAACCCAGCAGGTTTCTGTGCCTGCCATACTGGGTGCCTGTTCAGCCCCGATGTGATAGCGGAGAGCGTGACAGAGACCTGCCTGGGCGAGAGAAAGAGAAGAAAGGGCAGGTGTCTGCCAGGCGCTTCTGTGCCTCAGCAGGCAAGGGGGATGCAAGGCGGTGAGCGGGGAGGAGAGTCTGCCAGTGGGTATCCTTTCCACCCCACCCCACCCCCCGCAGGCTCCGTTTCTGGCCTCCACAGGGTGGCCTCAGGCCTGGCACGGGATCACCCTCAGCTTGTTCCAGGGCACTTCAGGTTCCATGCTGGGGCTGTGCAGTCGGGAGCGGCTGAGGGTTTCGTGTTCTCTGCGACAATCACAGGCCGGTCCCATTTAGGAGCTGGGCAGGGCATGCTGGGGATTGGGCATCCCTTCCTGGAAGAGTGGGTGCTCTGAAGGTGGTGAGTTTATAGGCGCCCCTTATAACTCACCCCCTTACCTAGCTAGTTTCAGATGGGCTGCTGGCGTGGAAATTGGCAGGCAGGGCTGGAGCCAACGGCTTCCAGCTCCATTGTCCTTTGGTGCCTAACAGTGCAGGAACAGTAAGGGCCCTTGGAGGCTACTTGGGTTCAGGAACGGGGTGGGGTGCAGACAAACCGGTGCGAGGCCCTGGTGAGGCGGAAGGGCTGGTGGTCAGGAGACCATCTGGCCGGGGGATGGAGCTCTTGCGACCTGCCCACCCAAGAGCCTTGTGCCTGGATGGTGGGTGGTGGGAAGGCATGGCTTTGTGGCCCTCCTCTGAACACCCCCAGGCCCAGCCGTTTCTGAGTCCATCTGGTTTGGCACCAAACACCTGAGCCTCCGCGATGCGGCGTCCTGACGAGTCCTTGGGAAGTCTCTGGAAGCTTTTGCGACACTGCCCAACTTCCAGAGGATGTCAAGATTGTAGCCCTCCCAGAGTGAGGGGCCCACCAGGCGCTTCCTGGGCCCGTTCTAAACTTTAAACCCACGCTTGCTGTCTTCAGGGAGGCTGAGGAGACACCTCCTTGCAGCAGGGCGTTGAAGGTGCTTCCTGTCCCGTTCCAGTTTTTCAGCTTCTTGGAGCTCTTGTGCATGCTCCACTGGGTGCCTGTGCAAGACCCCCTCCCCCGGGGCCCCCGACAACAGGGCGTCCACCAGCAAGAGCAGGAGATGGGCTTGTCTTGGCTCACCCGCTACCTCACCAGCCACTGTGGGAGGAGAAGGCAGGCCTGGACTAGAGAGCCACCCCTTGGGCCTTGCCTCTGAGCGGCACCTCCTGGTAGGCTGGGGGGGGCACCTTCCTGGCCAGCCGTGCCCAAGCGAAGGCCACCCCTCAGTGCCCAGCACGGCCGCACACATTTTCTCCACCCGAGGCCCCATCAGCATTTCAGGTTGATCTTGCAGGTGGAAAACATGCTCTTCCCAAAGCTCATTTCCTTGAACTCGGCTCACTTTGATTTCACGGGCTGCAACTTCTCCGAGAAGAACATGTACGCCAAAGACAAGCGGGACGGGCAGTCCAAGGAGGGCAGTGGGCGCGTGGCCATCTACAAGGCCTTGGGCATTATTCACAGGTATGCAAAGCCTCTGCCTCACTGTAGCCCTTCTGTCCCCTGACACCCCCACCCCACCTCCAGGTGGCCTCAGAAACAGGCACACGTTTCCATCCCCACCAGACTGGGGCCGAGCTAGAGGGAAGCCCTGGAAGAACAAGCCCCCGAGGGGGGGGCAGGCCCACACCCGGCCTGGCCTGGCTCCGTGGTGGGTTCTGGCCGTGTGTGCCCTGGTCACAAGGAAGCCCAGAGGCCCACGCTGCCCTCAGAAGGGAGGAGGGCGGCTGTCGTGTGGCAGGGGCTGAGGCAGATGGGGCAGGCGGTGCAGAGCAGATTTTGTTTCAGAGGGCCGGCCACGGACCATTCTCCTACCAGCCCCTGCGCTGCCACTTTCACCCTTTTATCTCCCGTTTTCCAGCTATACCCTGGAAAGCAACTACAACACCGGGCGGTCCGTCAATGTCATTCCCGCGGCCTGTCATGATAACGGGCGGGCGACCCCTCCGCCCCTCCCAGCGTTCCCTTCCAAATACACAGTGGAGCTCTTTGAGCAGGTAGCTGCACCCCCTCCCCTTCTGTGTGTGCATGTGTGCGTGCGTGTCGCCCAGCAAGATGCCTGCTGAGAGGCCTTTGAAAGGGACCGCTTCTACTTTGTAGGCCAAGAAGGGCCAAGGGTGGCCTCACAAGCGCCTCGCTGGGGGTAGGCTGTCAGCCGGGGGGGGGGTTCCCAGCAGATGACAACCAGCAGTTGACCAGGACACAGGCAGGGAATGACTTCTGTGACAGTCTGGGAGGAGACCTCCTGCAAGTTCCCCCACCCCCACCCCGCCAAGGAGACTGAGCCAGTGGCCACTGGAGGGCCAGGCAGCCGTCTGGCTTTCTTCCATCAGCACCAGGAGCCCAGCCCGGCCTGGCCTTCAATAATGTCTCTAAGCCTTTGCAAAGCGGTGACAAGAGTGCGCTGACCCTCTCTCTGCCCACAGGTTGGAAGGGCCTTGGCTGTCGCTGCTCTGGACATGGCAGAATGCAACCCCTGGCCACGGATTATCCTTTCTGAACACAGTTGCCTTAGCAATCTGCGTGCCTGGATGCTAAAGCATGTGCGCAGCATGAGGGGTGTGGCAGGCTGCTCTCGAAGGAAGGGGACCAAGACTCCGCCCAAGGGGGGCAAGTAAGTGGCGAGGGTAGGGGCACCTCCCCGGTGGGAGGAGGGGGCAGAGTCAAGCCCTGAACTCCCCTAGGATCAAGCGGCCCCTGCTGGGCCTCTGCTGATGGCGCGTCTCCAGTTGTCTTCTGGAGCTCCCAGCTGTACCTTCCGCGGGGAGAAAGGCTGTGGCTGCCTGCAGGAAACATCCCGCTAGGTAACGGTCAGGCTCCAGGCTGCCGTTTGCGGTCAGTGCACTGTTACCCTAGAGGGCCCCAAGCCCACCGCCCTGCCAAGGACACGGACGGTAGGGTGCAGGGGCTTCGACTGGCCTGCAGTCTAATCCCAGGGGCCGTTGGGGGTGTGTGACGTAACAGGGCCAATCTGAAGCACAGTGCAGGATCCCGCAGTGGGCAGAACGGGCGGCGGCCGGGTTCAGACTGGCAACGGTTTCAGAGGAAGGACCTGAAGAGTCTTGTTTCTGTGGGTTCCAGGTGGAGGAGGGCTGGCGGCCAGCACTGGAGAAGCTGCTCACTCCGCCATCCTGCCACGCAGCAGCAGCAGGGGTCAGGGAACTGCCTGTGAGCTTCACAGCCATTTGCACCAACTCTGGCTCAGTTGCCAGGAAGTCTGGGGGCTGGTTTTGAGGACGGACAGCCTGCCTTGGGTCCAGACCTGGAAAGCCAGCCTTTGCGCCTGGCCGGCCAGAGGTCAGGGCACACTCCGCCCGCCAACAGCCCCTGGGACCTGATGCCAAGCTTTCCTTTTTGTTCTAGCGGGGTCTCTGCCTCCACCTCTGAGAACTCTCTTTGCCGGACCAGGAGCTTCAGCCAGGGGGGTGGCAGCAGCGGTCAGCAGGCAGCCCTGCCGGTCAAGGCCTCGCCCAGCTTCACCTTCAGCTGCTCCCACCCCACCTCCCCCCTGGGCGGCCTGGGCCACAGCCCTCCAAAGGGGGCCTCGCGGGTGCTGGCCCTGGTGCGAGGTAAGCGTCCGGGGGGCTCTGTCCTGAGAGCGATCTGGCGGATGTGGGCAAGGCTGTGGTGCTGCCGCCCTTGAAAGACCCTCGTTTGCCTCTCTCTCAGTCTCTGTCAAGAAATAAAAGAGCTCCACAGCAAAGCCCACCTGTCTGGTGAAAGTGCCCCTCTGTCCACCTGAGCTTCCCGCCCTCCTCTCTGAACCGAGGCCAGCCACCCCAGGCTTCAGGCGGCCGGCACGAGCGGGCGGGGGGGGGCAAGGCCTTTGCTGTGCTCTCCACAGAGGAAGAGCCACTGCCCCCTCTCTTGGAAAATCAGGTGAAGAGAGAGGGACAGGAAGTGTGTGTTTGTGTCTGTGTGGGGGGGAGGGGGTTGCCTCTCTCTCTCTCCACCCCACCCCAGTAGGAGGTGGGAGAGCGGGGTTGCCTCTCTGTCTCTCTCTCCACCCCACCCCACCCCAGTAGGAGGTGGGAGAGCCAAGGGACCATCTCTCTGGCCAGCTCTCTTCTGACACGGCAGCCTCTCGGCTGTTCTGCCCCTGGATGGAAAGCAACCTGACGCATAGAGCTAGCTCCCCGTTGTGCCTGGCTCCTCCATGCCAAACCGAACCCTCCCGTTTAACTCCCACCACACACACACACACACTGTGCTTCTGGGGGCGCAAGCGGCAGCCACAGGCCCCCTCCCCGTCCTCCCACAGGGGCAGCCCAGAGAGGGTCCAGCTGCCACCACTTGGGTCCCAGGACTGTGGAAAGGCTTCCCTCCCATGGCCCAGCTGCTGGCTGGCTGGCTTCTTTCTCTGAGGACCAGAAAGCCGCACCAGAGTACAGGGGAAGCACCATGCTGTAGGGGAGCAGGGGTGCCCCCGTCCCATCACGGTTGGCAATGGCTGAGGCCTTGGCCTCGCTGCAGGGGCAGGATGGGCTCTGGAGCGAGGAAGCAGAGAGCGGCCACTTTGTCCTGGACCGATCCAGGCAGGCCCTTTCCGCAGCAGCCCCCATTGGGTTGCCCTTTGTTGCGCTTCCTGCTGCGCGATTCTTGGCCTCCAAAAGGCTCTCGTGATTGGAGGCGAGGCGGCAGGTGCCGAGGGCCAAGGGATCTCAAGGTCTGTGCTCTCAGTTCTGTTGCCACCCACAGACAGTGGGAGGGTGCTCAGAAATGAGGGGGGGATGGCCCTCACCCCTCTCAGTGCAGGCCTTCTGCTTGTCCCTTCTCCCCAGAGACTCACGCCCAGGAGAAGCGGCGCCACCCACACCAGACCCTGCTGCGGGCAGCAATGAACAGCATCCCGGTGCCCTCAGCACCACTCCCCTCCTCTGCCCGGACAGCTGCTGGCCTCCAGCTGCCTCCCAGCCTGGGCACCTGTGCCCTCCCAGCCACCCTCCATGGGACAGGTGTGTATGCCCACAGAGCCTGTCCTCAACAGGCCCCACCCTAAGTCAGGAGGCCGTGAGGATCTCGGCTCTGCTGTATGAGGGCCGGCGCCTGTCAGGCCAGCCTTGAGCAAGCAGCAAACCACGGCCAGGGGCTGCCCATGGCCAGGCCTGCTGGCTTTCCAAAGTGGCCACTCGCTTGACCTCCCTTGTGCCCAAACTAGCGATCCCAAGGAGAACCAGGAGTGAGTGGCTGGGGCCGGATCTTCTCTGTGGGAGCCGGAGCAAACCCCACTGTGGCAGCACCTGCCCGCCTGCCTGCCTGCCATTTCCCTCCATCCGATCCTGCCTCTGACGGGACCAGGAAGGGTGGCTGCCTCCCTCCCTCCCTCCCACAGGGTCTCTCTGCTCATCACCACAAAACTGCAGGCGGTGCCTGAGCACAGGTCTAACTCTGCCTTCCAAGAGGTTTCGCTTACAATGGCCATACCTCCCGGTCAGCATGGGGGAGGCACATTCCCAGTCACAGCTGATTCTTTGATTCACCACAGCGCAGTGGCCTTTGGCATCCCTCCAGCATTATAATTTTGGAGGCCTTTTGTCACAGCTATGCTGTTTAGCTCCCACTGTGTGACCTGAAGGTTCCCAAGAAGTCAAAGGCCAGCTGGGAAAGCTCCTGCACTCCAGAATGCTCAGCTTGTTTCAAAGCAGAGATTATCCCAAAAGATTTATGACCTTGCCTTATAAAACAAACTCTTTTACTAAACCTGGTGTTAACTGAGCAACAGCTTTTCCAACTTGCATTGACAAACAGTCTACCTTCTGGTACCTCCAAACTGTCTTGAGTAGGAAACAGACACACACACACACACACACACACACACACACACAAAGACCTTGGCAGGATCACTTTTAAAGATCCCACAAGAAACCTTTCATCTTGGTTTTTTTCTATCACAGACTCCCCCTTTTAAAAATGTTTGCTTAACTCTGCTCAGAAATGTCCAGAGTTTCTCTGCTGGATTTGCTATCCAGTCAGCCCTGCCCGGAGGAGCCATGCTGTGACTGTGGCCACACAGAGCCCCAGAGAAGGCCCCGTTTGGCCTTGCCTTTGCCCTGGACCCATGGACGAAGCCTAGAAGAGGGGGAAGTCGGGCAGGAGAAGGAGGAAAGTCCAGCAGCCAGACTGTATTCTGATACACACAGAATATACCACCGGCTTGGGAGAGATGCTTGGATTTTGATGCTCTGCCGTGCTTTGGGATGGAAACAGAGTCCCTCCCATCCTGTTGTGTTCTGAACTAGAACAGATCTCATTTGCTTTAACTTTCTTTGCGGGACAAGATGGCTGGGGTTTGCTGGATTCCTGCTCTGGCCCCTGCTCAGCAGACTTCTGTCCACCCTCCCCTGTTTGGTCTTGAAAACAGAGTTCTGACATGTTGACATGCCCCCTCCCGGAGGTTCAGCCCCTTTCCTTGCTGGGCCTGATGGAAGTTTGGCTGCCCCCTCACAAAGGAGAGCCATTCTCTTCAAGCGATGATGCCGCTAAGGAGAACAGCCAAGAAGCCCTCGGGACAGGGGGTGGGCGGGGGCTTCTTGGCCGTTGAGTGTCCCCTTCCAAGCTCACCTTGCCATGGTCTCCACCACCTGGTCTCTGAAGGGGGCGGGGCGAGGGCTTCTGCAGGCTGGCCACTGACATCAGTCTTGCGAGAGCTCCCAGCCCTGCTGGTTTCCAGCCGAGGCCCTGATCTCCCTCTCCCGGTCCTGCAGGATCCAGCTGCAGCAGCCTACTTGCCAAGGGGACCACGGCAACCGCCGTTGTTGGCCACGGACTGCAGAACATGGAGCACTCCCTTGAGGAACTAAAACCACCATCCTGTGGCTTAGCCCTGCTGCAGGTAAGAGGCAGCAGACCCCTGGGCTGGGGGATTATGGGTGGCCCTCTGCTAAGCTTCCCCAAATGGCTTGCAGCTCTCCCAACCTGGCCAACTCCAGAGCTAGCCTCGGCCCCTGTTCTACCACAGAGGACCACTCACGCCTGCATTTGCTCAGGAAACCCCCACCCCCACGCTGCATCCATGGCTGGTTTGGTCTCCCTCACCTGGATGCTCTTCTTCCTCTGCAGAATTTTTCAAGGCGGCTGAAAAGTGAGAAGCTACCAGAAACACCCAGGTAACAACCAGAACAGAGGAAAAACTGGCGGGTGGGTGGGTGTGAAGCTGGGGGCTGCTACCCCCTTTTGGTGCCGCTGGCAGAAGCCCCGTCCTCTGGAAGATGTACTGCCCCCTGCCAGAGGCTCCCAGCTTTCTCCTCCAGCCCGTGTTCTTCCCACAGCCTGGAGATACTGATGCCTCGGCCCAGCCGGATCCCCATCCGCCGGAAGCCAGCCGGGCAGGCGCAGCACTTGCTCAGACTCCACAGCAGCACCAGCAGCGACCGCTTGGGCCTCCACGTGTGGAAGTGCGCCGCCGTCGCCGCTGCCACTGCTGCCTCCCAGCTGCCTGCACAGAGCTCGCTGCCAGGTGGGTTTTGGCAGGGGGGAAGAGAGCGGCCTCGCGCCTTCGCCCCCTTCGCTGTGTGTGTCCGGCAGAGGCCTCTTTGGATGCATCCCCTTCTCCTGTCTCCTCCTCCTCCTCTTCCTGCTGCAGAGTTCCCGCTGGACGTGCCAGAGCTCAGGGCAGCCGGGCAGAGGGAAGAGCCGCTTTTTCTGTGCAACCCTTCCAAGGTCTTGCTGGACGAGGTAGGGGGAGCGGGCCGCTCTGCCGCTGCCCCCACTGCCCCCCTCCCCTCGAGCCTCTGCTTGGGAGGCGGCAGCAGCCCCTGGCCCCCCTCCCTGGCGAAGCCGCAGCCCTGGGGCCCGGGGGCTCCGCTGGTGCTGCCCCCTGAGCCGGATCGCCCTCTCTCTGTCTTGCAGCACCTGGCCAGCCGAGCCCCGTCCCCCCAGCTCACCTACCACAAGATCCTCTCCTTCTGCACCGAGGCCTGACTCGCCGCGGGGGAGAGGGAGGAAGAGGAGGCGGCCGCGGGCACAGGAACTA